AACATCATGTAACCAATACTAATGAGGGACTGCCTATCGGTTGGATATTTAAATATCCAGCTGTGTAAGTGTTGGATAAATAACGAGATGGTGTTGAATAGTTTAGAGAAAACATTCCCTCCGAAGGCCGAAGGCCCGAGGAGGGGATGTTTTCTCTAAACTATTCAACACCATCTTGTTATTTATCAGTTACATAAACTTTAACCTTGGTCATAACCTTTGAATGGTTGGTACTAGGGTTTTCATATTTCACAAGTGTATTCCTTGTGACAAGACCTTTCTTTGGGTACCAACATTTTTGATTTCTTGACCTTGGAGTTTGATTTGCATTTGAAAACCTTTAATCTTCGCCATGAGCTGTCATACAGGGGCATCATTGTTTCACAAACACATCTTGTTTTTTGATTACAATAATGAGAAACATCTTTAATTACATATAGCGTGGGTAATTTGCATTTATTTTGTCTCATGAATACAAGGCTATATATTAGCTTGAGAAATAAAATGCAGTTTGTTTTTCTAAATCACTGATATAAATGGATTTTTTTAGCGAGACGCAAGTTTAGCAATTTATCCCATAAAATGGGTACATATTTTCTAGTGAGAAGTAATTTGAGCGATTTTATTATGTTCAGAAAAAAAGCTACAACCACCGATGCTGAATGAATTGTTAAGGATATTTAATTTTACCGATATCAAAACCTTCGCCAATAATGCCAATATTAAATCTGCACTAAAAATTCTGCTTATACAGTATTTTAATTTTATGGGCACAAGTTATCATGAAATACCCAAAAAGCGTGCTCCGTCACAAAATATGACATCCTATTCGAGAGTAAGAACTTTTGCTAAGCAGCTAAGCATTACAAACTTGCATTTGGATTAGCCATTTCCCTGCAAAGAATTACAAATATACATTTGGATTAGCCATTTCTCTGTGATGCATTACAAATATACATTTGGATTAGTCATTTCTCTGCGAAGCATTTCAAACTTACATTTGGATTATCAATTTCTCTGTGAAGCATTTTAAACTTACATTTGGATTAACCATTTCTCTGCGAAGCATTACAAACTTACATTTGGATTAGCCATTTCTCTGTGAAGCATTTCAAACTTACATTTGGATTAGCCATTTCCCTGTGAAGCATTCCAAACTTACATTTAGATTAGCCATTTCTCTACAAACATTTCAAACTTACATTTGGATTAACCATTTCTCTGCAAAGCATTACAAACTTACATTTGATTAGCCATTTCTCTGTGAAGCATTTCAAACTTACATTTGGATTAGCCATTTCTCTGTGAAGCATTCCAAACTTACATTTGGATTAGCCATTTCTCTGTGAAGCATTAAAAACTTACATTTGGATTAGCCATTTCTCTGTGAAGCATTTCAAACTTACATTTGAATTAGCCATTTCTCTGTGAAGCATTAAAAACTTACACTTGGATTACCCATTTCTCTGTGAAGCATTACAAATATACATTTGGATTAGTCATTTCTCTTTGAAGCATTTCAAACTTACATTTGGATTAGCCATTTCTCTGTGAAGCATTACAAACTTACATTTGGATTAGCCATTTCTCTGTGAAGCATTTCAAACTAACATTTGGATTAGTCATTTCTCTGTGAAGCATTACAAACTTACATTTGGATAAGCCATTTCTCTGTGATTTCTAGATTTCCATTCAGACAGGTGAGCTATAATGTTGATGTACAGTGGATTTAGGGAGCTGACCATCTCCTGTAGAAAATTTTATGATTTCAATACCACATACAATATGTCTTATATTAATACAAATGTTAAGCTATTTACTTGTGCTTTTCAACAGTTTTACATTTCTGGCAAGTTATAGTAAAATAACATTAATATAGGTAAATAATTTAATTCTACTTTAAGTACTATTTGATTCATTGGACAGAAAAATAGTTTATATTTAAAAAGCTGTCTTGTGTTATATGCACCATACCTTACAAAAAAAAAACACGTACAAATCTGCTTGATGTTATCATTAAAAGTTTGTAGAATTACACAACCCTTTTTTTCATGAAACTGCTTCTTTTTTTTACATTTAATGACAGAAAATTGAATTTCCGGTAATGAAGAATAAATTAAATAGCAACCCAAGTTGTACTTGTAAAACCAGGGTTGCTTATAAATACGATACAATAAAATAATTACATAATTATAAACATTTAAATGGTAATAACAATATGCATTTACTGATCTTCAGATTTTGACTTTCTGGTGGCATGCATATTTGATTTACATTATGTACTAATAGTTTTGAAAGGGGTTGATAGATTTGGTCATGTACTTTCACAAGCAACTTTGAATTGCATAGAAAGTTTAATAGGAATAAAGATACCATATTTAATGACTTAATGGGCCTATTCCTAATCCTTCTTCTCAGCTTGCTTCTGTTAAAGACATAATAATGGATGTATTGCCCATTGGTAAATACCATTCAGTTAAGCATCATATTGGTTCAGGTTCATAACCCCCCACCCCCATCACTCTTAAAATATGCTCCAACGCTTAGATTTTAGAAGTAAAAACAAACAATTTTAGCATATCTTGTGGGATAAAAAATTGGACCAAAAAGTCATTTGATTTTGACAGATTTATATAGGAATGATAGCCATTTATCCTATGAAGAGTTAGACAGAACACCAGGGTATTGCAGGCCAGTGGATGCAAATGTAGCATACTGCTACTTCCAGTTACATTCACAGTATATAACAAGGAAGTGAAATCTATTATAAATCAACATTTTTAGAATTTCTAGTCATCGTAGAGTTTCTAGAAGCATGGTAGGACCGATTTCCTAGATTTTGTTCAGTCTTGCAACAGAATTTTTAGATGTTTTTCTTAATTTAATTGGGTCATAGGTGTATTGTGTTTTTATAAGGAGTACGAAGCCCATACTCCAGATTTTGTAGTTTTTTTTTTCACTAGTCAATATGTCCAGTGTAATTTAATTAAAATATTTGTTAATACAGGTCTGTAGGGCTGATAGAAGGATATTTAGAGTGTTTTTTTTCTTTAGTTTTTGAGTGAGCATGCTTAGTTGAGCCTTTATTGGTGTGCCCTCTTTTGAAAACGAGATATTCTAGATGTTCTTTTCGGGTTCGGGAATTAAAAAGAATTCCTTTGTTTAAAAAGATTCATAACCTATATGTACCGCCTGTCATCTAGTTCTGTAGTTCAGAAGTTGTCGGACAGAACACGTATAGTTATGTGTGCTACCTTGATCACCAATTTTCAAAGTTTTAGATAGTATGAGTCAATCTTTCTTTGTTTTCGGGAATAAGGTGGTTATCAAACCAAGAAATCCTATCACAGACTATTCATACAATATTTAACATTACTTCTGTGCAAAAAGGAATGTTCATGACACTCAGGGATATGAATTTAAAGTTTAAAAACAAACAAACTATTCTATTTTCTTGAATGAATTTTTTTATGAACTTGTTGATCCTCTAATAGACTTCTCATGCTTATTATTAATATTGGGGTCTTCACATCACCTTGAATGATTTGGGGTAAGATTGCAAATTTTCCTACAGGGAAACATTGTATCCACCTTAATAAGTCTTGGCTTGGGCACGGCTATTGATGCCGCTCTCACCCCCACCCATTTGATGGCGAAGTTCCCGATCACAATATGTTTGTGGTGGAGAACTTGTGGCGTAAGCGAGCGGCACTGAGTAATTATCCTATACAGTGATGTAACTGTTTAAAAATTAAACCTTCCCAGTTGAATATATAAATAAGTACTTGACCTTTGCACCTCTCAAGGTCAAGGGCTTGACCTCCCAGGGTCAAGAATTTTATCATTTGTTGAGAGATTGTGAACTTTGACCTTTGAACTATGAACCCTAAACCTTAATTGGAATGATGATTATGTGAAAATATTTACATTCACTGATATCATTTCGTTTATTTCTTATAAAAACCATTACCGTTAATCAGTCCATAAACAACACTAAGCAAGCCACCTGCATAGATTTCTTAAGCAACGGCTGTTCCATCAATTATGCATACAATGATATACACATCTATAATACATATTGAACATATTTAATTTACTTTGATTTTTTTTTTTTTTTTGGAGATATAAATATAAACAATAAAATGTGTTTCTTACGCGGGTTATGTATTTTTTCTGCAACAGCTGCGACATTAATTCCCGTATTAACAACCAAAGAAAGCACTTAATTGTTTAAATAAACATCCCAGTTAAATATATAAATAAGTACTTAAACTTTGCACCACCCAAGGTCAAGGGCTTGATCTCTGCACTTCCCACGGTCAATTTGTCTTACTATTTGTTGTAAATTATGTACGTTGAACCCTCAATTTAATGATGTTGTTGTGAATGTTGCTTTGTTGTGTTGCTGGGTCTAGCCGTCGTTTTGAAGGGCCTGTCCATTAATTGTTGTATTGCAGGGTCTGCCCGTTGTTTTGGCGGCCCCTCTATTGTTTTCCCAGAGACACTAATGGCAATGATAATTATTCGTGTCTCTGGAATATTACAGCCGTGTCCAATACACGCCAAAATAAAATACTTTTAAAAAATGTACTTTGTGTCAATTTTTGAACTTCTCCGAGATAATATCCCTATAAAATAATCCAGTTTCTTCTGAGTGCAAAATTAACATAAACTCAAATAGCTGAGTGTAGTTTTAATTATTAGATATTACTTTAATTACTTCAAAAATAGTCTAATTGATGTGCACGTCAAATCAATTATTGGTCCATTAAATTGAATGGATTTGTGCAACAAATGAATTGATGCGATGCGCGCATTGATAATTCAATTGTTGAGCTCAACAACGTGGTGGAATTATTCCTTGCAAATATCGGTATAAATGGTTTGTTGCGCTCTTTAATTTTATTGAAGACATCTTTAATTATTTCACAACAATTTTGTTAGGAGATCTAATGTTTAATGCATCAATTTGTACAAAACTGCATTTAAATAAGACATCGTTCCAATCAATCTTTATTTCCTCTATTCCGAGATTTTACAATGCATACAATTTATATTTATGCTATGTTAGGAACATCAAAATGTAAATGACATTTAAAAATAAAAGAAATACACACAAACTTATTTACAAGATCAATAATACATTGGGGAAAAATTATGTTTGAGTGGATCAAAGCCCCGCTGAAAAGGGCATAGGCATTGCAGATAAACTTCGCACAACAACAAATGAATTCATTTTGATCATGTTTGTCTTTCAATGTTATTGTTGGAAGGCCACCTAGTAACGTTAAATACAAGTCATAATCACACATATGTGTTAATTCTACATATAATTAATTGAACATAAAATTTGTTCAAAAGAGTTCCTGATATGCTCTTTGGTAGAACATCACAAGACGGCGTGTTGGAAGGGAACGCTATATATTTTTTACACAGAGAGCACCTGTTTGTTGGGTTAACTGAGGTGTTACGGTCCATTAATTTTATCAGTCTGGTTTCATCAAAGGAAAAGTCAAATTTATATATTCTTGCCGGAGCTATGCTGGTGTGTATATCTTTAAACATTTCAAAGTCTTTGCACTTTTCGGTTCTGGTTGTCCAGGATAAGTTTTGATAGTGATGAATTGATTGGCGTACGATGTTCTTCATGGCATATTTTCCAGGAAACCTTGCTTTAATAATTCTTTTTGAGAGGTCTGATTATAAGAAATAAAAAATCTTTAAAAATCAAGGTATTCCCAGTTAGCTTTTAAATTTTTATAGATCTCATTTACATTTTAAACTAATCACGAGATAAATTATATTCGATTACTTTGTTGTTATACCGAGGTTGACATATTTTTTAACAAATCTGTATAATACATTCAGGTTTGTTTGATGAATGGTAAAGAAACGCTCTTCGTCATCTTCCTATCACTTTTTCCTGTGGTTGTTTTCGGTAGCTTCTCGTGAAAGACAATGTACTTCGGAACATAAATTTGTTCCATGAATCTGGCTTCCTCAGAAATATTGAGCTCTTGTTTGATAAAATCCTTGAGGGATTCCTCAGTCAAGGTCACACCTTCCTTTTTAACAACAGCTGCACAGGGAATATCGTCACAGTGTATTTCGTCTTTTATGGAAAAGACCACCACTTCCTTGACACAGGGATTTCTTTTAATAATTTTTTCGAGATAGGATGGCAGAACTTTAGCTCCAGAGATTTCCATTACGTCAGAAACTCTGCCGAATACTTCAAGGTAACCAGCAGAATTAATATATCCGAAATCGTCGGTTTTGTACCAACCAGCAGGAGTGATAACAGCCGCGGTTTTTTCGGCTTCATTGATGTAACCTGGAAATGGTAAACAACTGCGCGATAGCACCTCGCCTTTCGTTCCAAGAGGAACCATCATTCCATCCTTCCCTATAATTTTCATTTCCACCCCAGGGAACGGCGAAAGACCAATATATTTATCAGGCGAACTATACATCCTTCCAGCCAAAGAAGCGGCTTCTGTGGAGCCGTACGTCACAGAAAGGGTATCGTACCTTTTCCCGATGGCTTCCAGGCAAGAAGCTGGAACAGGCTGACCCCCTGTGATGACCGTTCGAATTTTCCAAGAAATATCTTTTGACATCAGTAACTCCAAAAGGAAAGGAATGAGAATAAAGGCGATTTTGGGCTTTGCTTTCTCTATAATATTTGAAGTGTGTTTCATAGTTTCTGCTTTAGTTGGGAAAGCAAGGGTGTTGGCCTGGGTTATAAGTTTTCCTCCTATTACAAGGGCTAAAAACGGATATCCCCCTATCCAGTAAAATGGCCGATCATTGAAGAATGAAAGCTGTTCATCTTCTTTGTCATCCCAGCCAACTACATGCAGGAAATTATATGCAGTTTCAATTAAACGATAATGACTATATTCTACAGCTTTTGGAAACCCTGTACTCCCGGATGTCAGAATAATAACACCTGTGTCATCTGGGTCTACTTCTGTTAGCTTGATATTCTCTTTGCTGAATACGTCTTCAATTGTAAAACATACCTTAGAGGATTCCAGGGGTGCATGTAATGCGACCCATTTTACTGATGGTATGTCGGAATCGACAACAACACCAGTTTTTGAATCAACTTGCAGGAATTTCCGACATATTTCCCAATGAACGTCATTATCTCCCGGATCAAAAATTAGCATTTTACATCCTCCGACTTTGCTGATAATTCTTTTCAAGCTCTCTCCAGATCTGTCGTGAAAGTTGAAGTGCAAGGGGCGTGCCCCAGCGAGCTGTGCACCTAATGTACTCACCAGCCATTCTATAGTGTTGTTTCCACCTATTCCTATTATGTCGCCCTTGTGTATCCCAAGCTTTAGAAGCCCTTTTGCCAGCATTACTGCATCCTGGTACAGTTTTTCATAGGTGATAGAAGTTCTTGGTTTGCCAAAAGTGTAGAAAACACATGCTTCTTGTTTTGGTTTTACAGTGGCCCACTTTTGTAGAAGTTTAGTCAGCGTCGTATACGGTGCTCTGGTGATCAGACTAGATCTTAAATAGCTTTGGTCAAAATTCATTTCTGCCACTTCCATGATCTCACAAGTATTTCCGGGATCCCAAACGTCTGTGCCTCTGCACAAAAAGTGAATTCTAACTTTAATGTACTGGAAAGTAAGGTGAGCCTTTGAAGGTAATTTTACACATCAGTAGCTTAGACTTCTTCCCTGTAATATTTAACAAGTGCCAAACACTGCAAATTTCGGCGCTATTATAGTGAAAACTAGAGCAGAGCTAGATACAAAGCAACGAGTAGGTCTTCCGTTGGAGCTGCGGACAGGAAGAAGGGACCTTGAGTCAAGGCTATGCGACATCCTAAGGTTACAAGCAATCTTGTAAGGGGTATTAACTTGCAATGTTTTGCCAGTAGAAAGATGGATACATACCTCTAATTATTTTAGAATCGGTCGGGGAAGAAAGTAGTGCAGAAAAAAATTACAAGTTCCTTAATTTGCAGACCTGAATAAAAAAAACTGTGATAATGTATTAAATTGAGTCCCATACTTGTTGATAAGGAGTATGTTCCCTTGCAAAAAAGCTTGACAGATGTAATTTATCAAGAAGATCATCAGAATTATTTTATGTATTATAACACCAGTGAGAAGTCTTGAATTCCCCTACTTTCACTTTCATTTTCAGAGGTTAACGCAGACAGACGCATTTTGCCGGAAACGAATATGACATGCCACCTCGAGATTTTAACCAAGGAAAGACAACTTGATGTGCTTTGATTTGAGGGGTCACTCACTGCTGAACGAAAATTAGGGACATTGCTTTGTGAAGAAAGGTTAACATTGCCGCCTATGGGAAACAATAAGTGGGCTGTACCCAGATAGTAAAGGAGTGTACAGTTTCTCTGTTGGTGACGTTGAACTTGTCCAAATGACTTTGCGTCAAGCCATGACGCACTCTGGTTATAAGCAAACCCTATCTGGTGTTACCGACTTGACAAATTCACACATGTTCTTTCAGACCATACATTAGGTAAAACATCTTATCCTCTGTGACCTTGAACTTGAATCAAGGCCGCGACACACTCTGCATGATATCAACAATACCATTTTGAGTGTTTCTGACTAAACAAGTTCACCCATGTTTTTTTAAGACCATATATCGATTCAAAATATCTTATCGTCTAAAATTTTAATTTACATGTACAGTGTATAAGGTTCAGCTAACTGGTTTAAAGGTTCATTGTTAATGTTTTATGTTCAATAAGGACACTGAAAAATGGCGGCTTCTTTGGGTCTCTGTACTGGTCTTAAATCTGTAAATCCCATTGAACAAAGGAGTACAAGGTGCATTACGATACGCAATCTTCTCATGTTCTATGATGCAGGCCATACTGTCTGCGTTACAACAAGATAAAGAAATATTTCATTCAGTATCTAATTTTCTATGATCCCACTGTGGGACGTGGAGACCGGTCCTTCGGATGAGACCGTATAAACCGAGTCCCGTGTCGCAGTAGGTGCTGGCACGAAAAAGATCCCTCACTGCTCAATGGCCGTAAGTGCCGAGTATAGGACAAAATTTGCAGCTCTCCACCGGCAAGTGGTGGCGTCTCCATATGAGTGAAAAATTCTCGAGAGGGACGTTAAACAACATAAAAACAAACAAACAAACAAATTTTCTATGGATTGGGGGTAGGTCTTTCTCTAACATTTCAATACATTTTTGCTGGAATTTGCCTATGACTGTACAACAACATAAAGTGGGGAGAGGCAAGCAGCATTCAAATCAAAACTCACATATTAGAACTACAGCAAAAGACTATTCTCAGTAAAAGTCTAGGGAACCCCTCCCCTTCCCCTCCTCCTCGTACTACGGATCTACAGAAAAAAATGCTGACCCCTATTCAGAGTCATAGGGTACATTTCCAGGAAAGAGTGACAAGAAAAAGGGCTGCTATCGTTTTATTTTAGTCTATCAGTCGAATCAAAATATCTTTTCCTCAATATTTTTTTCTTTGATTCATCCCTGTGATTGTGTGATTAATTGTGTATATTTTACGTTCTGTACTGGACTTGAAAAATGTCGACGACTTTGGGTTTATGTACTAGCCTTGGATCCCGCAGAGAAGATTATATACTAGTTTAATTTTACGATAAATTTAAATAATAATTTGTAGTTATATCTAATTCAATATTAATTTTGTGATGTTTTTAATGTTTATTTCATCAGGAAATTTGAATTTTGAAATAGTATTTTTTTTTTTCGACGAACTGATTATCTTACTAGTTTAAAGCTATCTCAATACTTTCTATTTCCGACATGGAAAAGTTATTACACTTAGCGTACTCTTTTGTAAAAAAGTCGGACAATGTACAAATCTCGCGAGATTTCTGGGACACTAACTCATGTAACCAATATGTTGAATGTTGATTTAAAAAAACGCCTAACAAACATGAAAAGAGACACTATAATCAGGGTTCTCCATGAGATGTTTTACTGTTTTACGGCCCCGACACAGTGACAATTCAAATTTTATGCGTGCGATACAGTAAAAAATTTGCGACACAGTAAGATTTGTGATAATCAGAAAATCAGAACATAAACTCTCTCTGACTGAAACTTTAATCAAACAAATCTACCGTCTTTCAATTTTTAAGGCAGAGCACTTATCTCTTAATTAGGACACTTTGTCTTGCTTTACATGTACCTTGCATAATCAATTATCTCCTAAACCCTCACTGGACTTTGCGCATGAAGGAACAAAGACAAATAATTTGTTTTCACACTTCCATGTAATCGTATACTTGCTAGCTGTATTTTTCAATATTATTTAAAAATTAAAAAAATTATTATAAATATATGTCCTTATACTGCAGAACTACGTCTCTTAGAATTAATTTTGCACTGCTGGTCAATCATCGTACCGTAATCATTGTATCGTTGAAGAACTTAAAGGCTTCCCCTAAAATATTTTACTATTCTAAAGTTTCTTCAGGAATTCGATCAACTGACAAAAATCACGGCAAAATTACTTTTAAAGATGGTATTAAAGAAGATCGATTGTATCGACCAGAATTTCCTCCGCTCTTCAGAGCATGTGTTAAATATGAAGTATGAATATATATATATATATATATATATATATATATATATATATATATATATATATATATATATATATATATATATATATATATGTATATATATATATATATATATAATTATAATAACTTGAACTAGCATATTGTTTAAACAGCACGCAGGTACGTTAAGGCTTCCCAGAGAATCTGTGACTTCACTTCTCTGAACTACAAATGTATGACGTCATAATTGAAAATGACGTCAAGTCACTGCAAACTTGAGCTGTTATGATGGGGAGAGTGTCATAAACTTAACACCTTATTTCAATCTACATATAAAGTGTCCGAAAGGTAGTGTAAATATAAACGTGATTTAATCTTTTTTAAAAATCTTAATATATCCGAATATTTTCTGTATAAAGATAACATTGCTTTATTACTCTTGTTTAAAAGTCAGCGTGTTCAAAATATATACGAAAATATACGTTTGACATTTACTCTTTTTTATGCCCTTGGATAGAAGTAGAATTTATAATATATGTATAAAAGAGCCTGGCGCAGGTGATCAATGAGGATTTATTTGAGATCTTTTATGGAAATCTGTAAGAGGAGTTTCCCCTCTGACCGAATCTTGCTTGGGAAAAATGTGTGATGGCTTTGTTTTAATACAGATGACGATATTGAGTGGAAAATACCCTAAAATTTGTCGGTAAGTTGAATTTATTGTGAAATATTTTGTACCAGGGTAATAGTATAACTTTTCCCAAGCACATTTCGGGTTCACAAGGATGCGACGAGTTTAATTATGTGACAAAAAGTTAATAATAATTGTGTTAATCAGCTGCGCCGAATCGATTTATGTGAAACACTTCAAAAAAGTAGAAATGACCGTCACGTGATCAACGAGGTCATGTGATATCGTAACAAATACGTTAATATATAGCCTAGAGAACCCTCTAAATAAATTGGCCGTACTTAAGTACATAATTTAAAAATAAAAATTGACTTTGCAATGCAGTGTTATGTTTTGAACGCATTTAAAGCTTCGGGAAGCCTTAACATTGCTGCGCAATTAATATCTCAAAAACTGACCAATTACCCCCGCGATGTCATTCCAGAAAGCCTTAATTATTTCCGAATCAGTTTAAATAGACAGGAGAAAATGCTAAAGTTTCAAAAAATTGTTTATTTTTGAATTTAATATTCAAGAAACTGTGATCAAATTCACTTATGTTTTAATTTTTTCCGACTATCCGATGACAGATTTTCTAACCGATTACCATCCTTCCGACCGAGTAACCGGTTAGCCGGTTACAAATTGCCATCCTTAATATATATATATATATATATATATATATATATATATATATATATATATATATATATATATATATATATATATATATATATATATATATATATATATATATATATATATATATATATATATATATATATATATATATATATATATATATACACAAAAATATCAACGTTTAATATACACATACAACTTGTAGACAGTGATACCAAAATATTATACTAATAAGATTTTTTTTAAATCGTACTTTTTTTAAAGTTGTGTATTGGGGGGGGGGGGGGGGGGGGAGAGAGATTTACAGTTGGTTTGTCTTTTGGTACATTGTATGTACATTATTATATGGAAACATTCCATTGTTTTAAATATCCAATTAATTTTATTTATTAATATGTACAATCATACTTATTTGTATAACAAAGAGCGAGGTTCACTTTGCATAAAATGGCCCTGTAGATAAACAGATTTATCTACTAACACACTATGTCCCTTTCTCAACATCAATGTAAAGTAGAGACTTGGCGCTTACAGTTTGTATATAAAAGTTTCCTCTTAAGAGTCCAGGTACTGGAAAACAGGTTTTGTGAAATTGCAAATTTCTTGTTTGCAGAAAAACAGGTAAATTTGAGAACCTTCAACAAAGAATTAAAATATGAGCACACCCCTCGATCCAAAATTAATGTGTGTTTTATAATCGTAATGAGCAGTTCTTTCATAATATATTTGCACATTTTGGATCGGAGATTGTGCTGTATACGAATTATTGACAAATAGCATCATATTTTGGCTTTTTTTGAAGA